TGGCGAGCAGGCACCACCCTTGCCGTGCCATGCGGGGACCTGTTTCTTGGTCTCACACCCCCTGGCGTCCTGTTTCCTACTCTGCATAGACTTTTCTCTCTTCTTCATAAATGAATATCTCAGTTAAGATTATGGATTCCAGGTGGGTAGAGTCTTGACAGAGAAACCGACAACCACTATGAGTTTCCAGTTGTGATGATGATGATGATGATGGTGTGTGTGTGTGTGTGTGTGTGTGTGTGTGTGTGTGTGTGTTTCGAGACAAGGTTTCTCTGTTTCTCCCTAGCTGTCCTGGAACTCTTTCTATAGACCAGGCTGGCATTGAACTCAGAGATCAAAGATCCTCCTGCCTCTGCCTCCCAAGTGCTGGGATTATAGGTTTGCGCCAGCACTGCCCAGAAGGATGGTATTTTTGACAGGGTTGAGGGATGCTGAAAGGGTTGAAAAAGCAATTCCCCGGGTATGTCTGTGAGAATGCCTCCTGAAGACACTGGCGTGCGGGTCAAAGAACTGAATATGGGAGAACCTCTTCCAACTGGGCAGCACTGTCCATTTAGGTGGGAGTCTGGCCAGCGCACACTAGCAGATCTCTCTGCTTCTCTCTCTCTCTCCTCTCCTCTTCTCTCTCTCTCTCTCTCTCTCTCTCTCTCTCTCTCTCTCTCTCTCTCTGTTTGGGTTTGTATAGGGGTGTATTTGTTTGGATTTTTGAAACAGGGTATCACTCTGTAGTTCAGGCTGGCCTCCAATTTATGATCCGCCTGCCTTGGCCCTCCAGCACTGGAATTACAAGTCTGTGTCACTGTGGCTAGATTTTGTATTGAGCAGTTGTTATTCCAGTACACAGAACTTGACAGGAAGGAGGAGGTAAGTGCACACACACGATTTCATAGAAGGTAAGGCCTCCCATATGGAATACTGACCAGGCTGGCATTCATTACCTCGTTATTGCCATCTGCCTGTGGGCTCTCCGCTCTTGACTGCTTTCACCCGCAAACCAGCTGGAAAAGCACAGAGACAGCTCCAGGTCCGCTGGGCTGCCAGAGGAATTCCCCATCACCCAACTATAAAATCCCACCCCAGCCTTTGTCTTGGAGATTCTGCCACACGAACCTAGAACCGAGCGTGGGCTTTCTGGTGGGTGACACTCATTGCTCGTCACAGCCTCTGTTGGTGATGGAGGGAGAAGGACCTTCAGGAAGTCTCCATCCCTCAGTTATCTCCACTGGTCCTGGCTCACCTGGCATCTGGAACAAGAGACTTTTTGACATTTAGGGATCTGTCCTGGCACCGGGAGCAGGAGCTCACCACACGCCATCACCGTAGAGAACTCAAAATGAAGGCTTCCTTAATGGGAAGGTAAATGGCAGGCTCAGGCTTCCTATATTTAGCCCTTCCTGAGAGCAGCTATTTCAGGCAATGTGTGAATGGAAGCAGGCAGCCTGGATTTGGAGCGCAGGGAGCAGCAGTGAAATGTGACCTAAAAAAGACAGATCCCAGCAGAGCAATCCCAGACCACGTGTGCAAGACGAGCCCTCATTGATTAGCGGAAAGCCCAGCCTGCCTTGAAGACAGGAAAGGAAAGGGAGGCTTCGGTTTTGATGGTGGATGCCTGGGAGGGGACCATCTCCAGCTTCTGCCTGGAACAGCTTGCTCCAGGGAACATTGCGCGCGCATGGAGAACTCACTCTGGGACAGTATGGCGCTAAGTCATCTAAGTATTTGTGGGCGTCACCCAATCCGAAGAGATGATTCCTAACTTCCAACCATGGTTGAGGGAACTGTGGAACCACTCCGCCCCAGTTGGTAACTCTGACGTTATTCTCTCGCTCCACCTGGAAAGGCTGAACTGCCTCCAACAGAAAGCAGAGCCCTGCTCCAAAGACTACTCAAAGGTGATTAGGAAAACAAATGTCAATTAAGAGGCATCTTCAATTCTTTGAGTGTTCTGGGTAATTTAATTCCCTGCTTGACTTAATTAAGCTCTAGCCAGTAAAACTTGTCCATTAAAACATTATATATATATATATCCTTGACTTGTGAACCCAATTTAAGTTTTCACCAATGGTGCCTGGAGATGACTGGTGTGAAAATAACGTCTCATCATCTGAGGACACATAGTTCTTCTACTAATTAAGGCTGCAAGGGCATCTCTTGCTGCTGCAGTGGGATGTTCCTGAGTCTCAAGACCTTTGTAACTGGCAGCCAATGTATCCTTTCACTATGGGGAACCAAGCGGACCTGCTTGCTGTGGTTACCCCCATAGCTAGGAATAGCTGGATAAAATAGCAGTAACTATGAGATGGGGAGGGGTGTTGCAAAGCAGCAAAGCAGACAGGAACTGTAGGGAATGGTGTGCAGACAGCATGGCCAGAAAGCTGTTCAAAGGACTTCTAAATAGTAAGGTTTCTGTGATTTTCTCTCTGCACAGGTCAAAGTTTACACTGCAGACCTTCAAATAGTAGGTAGCCCTGGGCAGGGCTTGCTTGCTTCTTTCGAAGGCTCGGATGTAGCAAGCCAGCAACCAGGGCTTTGTGTAGTCTTTTAAATGACCCTGATGCCCACCTTTCAGACTCTGATAAGCCCCATTCTGCTGAACCACAGAGTGTAAACTAAGCATTGCCGCTCAGTCAGTGGCAGAATCAGGGATATCATTTCTTGTCTGCTTCTTAGTTTTGAAAAGGTTGCATTTTATTTCACACTCTGTGGAGTAAGAAGAATGAAGAGGAGGCAGGAACCAAGCCCAGGAACAAATGCTAGGGGCTTTGTCCTTACTTAATTGCCTGAAGGGAGGGGTTGTACAGAATTAAAAAGGAATTAAAAAAAAAAAGAATTTGCCTGCCCTGCTGTTTTATCCGCGTCTTACCCCCTTCCCTCTCCCCTGTCCTTGCCTAGGTATCTCCTTCCTTTCCACCAATGAGGAAATCATCCTAGGAAACATCCAGGCAGGTTTCTGTTTCTAGTCAAGAGAAAGTCCACAGTCCTCCAAGGTCACGTGACTGCAGCTTGCAGAGCAGCTGGTCCATGCCATGCCAGTCAGATTGACCCTTAAAAACTGGAAGCAAGTGAATGGGCAGATGGTTCAGTCAGCAAAGGGCAAGGACCCAAGATCAGATCCTCAGACCCCCACATAAAAATCCAGGCAAGCACAGCGGAACACAGAAACACACCTGTAACCTCTGTGTCGCAGTGTGTGGCTTAAGTGTCTTTCTGCTATGAAAAATGAAGTGCTTGATCCTTCCCTCCCATTTGGAGGTCATCAATTTAAACTTGAAAACATTATCTCACATTTATTCCGTTATTAAAAGAAAAAAAGAGGGAGCGATCTTGAGGTAGAAGGGATAGCTTAGTAGTTAATATGGGTACTGTGCAAACTTGAAACCCTGAATCTGAACCTAGAAGCTAGGGGTTTTGCTTTTGTTTTGTTTTTTAAAAAAATATGGACAGGAGTAATAAGGAGGTGGAGACAGGATGATCCTTGGGGCTCCCTAGCTGACTAGTGCAATTGACAATCCCCAGGTTCCAATCATAGACACTGTCTCAAAAAAACAAGGTGGCTGGCTCACGAGACTACACCTGGGGCTGGCCTCTGACCTCCACAGGCACATACACACATGCACACATACACATACACAAAATAAAAACCCAAACCTCTTTCCAGCCAGTGTCATAACTGAGCTTTATTGTAACTGGTTCCACAAGTTGGGGCCATCACTGCAGCTAGGACCTTGTGTGAGGTGATCATACAATCTGTCAGACATAACCAAGTATGAAGCCAGAAGAGCAAGTTCCTGATGTGGGAGCCTGTTTCGGCATCTCGCATGCCAACGGTCACTCTCCACAGGTATCTGATTGACACAAGGTCTTTGTGGGCTACTGAATCCCAGGATGTGGCCTGTAGGAGTTCCGCATGCCCCTTTGGCTATGGTATTTCCAGACGGCTTGTGTAGGACCAACACTTTACAAACTTGGGGCAGGGAGGAATATCTCAGCGCAATTTTAAAATATTTAATACATTTTTGTGTTCTACAAAGAATGAGCAGTTCTCAAATATTACAAATAGTGAAACAGATATACTAGCTTATGGATATATAGAGATAGATATATACAATTTACTACTTTATACTTCAAAAGTGCAGGAAGATAAATTACATAATATATATAATTTTAGATCTAGTGGACAATTGGATATTGCTTTTTGTTGGACTTGATGCATTGGATGCATGCCCATGGCTTGTCACTGAATGGAGAGGGGACTGGTGGGGATTAGGGAACTCATGGAGCCCCGTGCTTAACCCCAGAGTGCCATCTTCAAAGCAATATTTCAAGTTTTATAATGAGCTGGGGCTGGATCAGAACGTTCCAGTCCCATGTACAACGTAGGATGTCACCAAGAATCTCAGCTTTACGACTTGGGATGGGACCAAAGCAAGGCTGAAAGCCATTGGCCCAGTAGTACTGCACCCTCGGCTCCTGAGTCAGAGGGACATTTGCAAAAAGAGATGTGGAGATAGGTGCCCAGGGCTCAGCTCAATCTAGAGGAGAAAAGCAGTGTCTGAATGAAGCCCAGCGAGAGAGGCTTTAGCAGCCTCCCAACCTCTAAACTCACAGGCAGAACAGAAAGGAACAAGGACTGTGAACGGAATAACCACAAGATTCTCATGGTGATGAAGACCAAAATACTTAGGAATATAGACACTGACTTAAAGATCTCAAAGAACCCTGATGTGGTCGCTGGGAATAGCGAAGTTTATAGCAATGTTCCACCTAAAGTGGCTCCTGTCAGTGAGAGAGGCAGGATTTTACTAACCATGGTGGGATCACCACAAACATATATATCCTATGTCAGCCGTGGAGTCATGGCCTTTCCTTCACTAATCTCACACCTAAATGGCAAAGTGACACATTTCCTCTGAGACCAGAAATAGGAAGAAATGGAACAACAAATTACAGACATTCAAAAAAAAAAAAAAAAAAAAAAAAAAAAAAAAAAAAAAAAAAAAACTCTGCAGCTCCATCTTCCTGTGATAGGGAATGGTTTTAGGGAACAGAAAGAGCCAACAGAAGAGCCTCAGAGGGGGCCCGGAATGAGTCTGAGCTCATGGTTGACTCCTGGGCTTTCCTCATTTTTCAGGGTGGCTGCTCACCCAGGTCCCCAAGGATTTTGTTCTAGAAGTCCACAGAAATGGTAAGATCACTGAGCCATACAGTATCCTAAGGGACCTTCCCAACCCTCAGCATGTCGCCAGGGTGGGCTATGATTGACAGAGCAGAGTGGGCCAGGCCAGACAAGGAGACTGAATTCTAGAGGCCTGAAGGAAACAAAGGAGTTTGAATACAGTGTGCTTTGGAGGCATAGGTGGAACAAGAGGCCTACCACAACTCGCCAGCCTCGGGAGGTCTGCACAGAGGCCATAGGGCCACTATATAGGCTTCCCCGTGCTGCAGTCCCCTTGACCTGCTGACTGGGCAATGGTAAGATGGCTAAGAGAGTGGCCAAGCCAGCACCTGAGGCCAGCATGGGTTTGTCCCAACCAGGTGAGACAGGAGCTCCTTCTCATTGGCTGTGGGAGTAAGAATTTTCAAGAACCAAAACCCAGACAGACTCCAGGATGGCAGGTAAATTGGACTAAGCTGAGGGCATTGTGCCCAGAAAAGAGAGAGCAATCTATCTGTAGCTGGCATGGCCTCTGCTGCCTCAAGCCATGGCTGGTTTGTTCTGAGAAATCCAGGCTACACACACAGACATTAGGAAAGAACCGGTTCTGGGGTGCACACCACACTGAGGAACTTAAGGACATTTAACAAGGAACAGGGGGGAAATTACTATTAATTAAATGCATCTTCTAGCAATCTACTTCCAATATAGATAAATTGTTAAAAACACAGTGAATGACGTCTGTTTCTGAGTATTTCATTGAGGTGCAGCGCATGGCATCTGCAGGCTCATGTGGTTTAGAAAAATGGGTGTGCTTTTGGTTATTAGATGCTCTTGGCTGGCTGTTTCCCAGCTGGGTACACATGGAGTTATTTAAGACAAGAAAGCCATCTTAGGGGAGGGGAAGGTAGGAGTCTAAAAAAAAATGCCTACTTTATTTGCTTTTATTTAAAAATCTGAGGCTGAGAGAAGTGGCCACCCTCGAAGGTCAAAAGAAAGAAAGTTCATGTTTCTAAGACCCTCTAAGTATCACACACACACACACACACACACACACACACACACACACGGGCATTATTGCGATCTTTGCATGATGTCACAATGTCCTGCCCCAAAAATGGAGGAAGTGCTGGCACAGCATCATGCCGTAGGTACCCTTGCCTTACATGTGAAGTGTGTACAATTGACAGACTGACACGGTACTTGTAAGAAGACTTTGAGGAAGTGAGGGCATCCCCGCATTGTGTGTCAGCAGGAACAACATGAGCATCATTTGGAGGGGGCTATGGTATTTTGTCTTTAATCCCACTAAAAATGCATTAACAGGAACCGCTAGGGTCCATAGGTCCATGTTGGATCCACAGGTTTCTCGCCTCCTTTGACTGCCTGCTGCTTCCCCAAAGATGTTAGTGGCTTCTGAACTAAGTTTCCTGGTGTGGGATGGTTCCAGTAGCTAAGGGTTAACCTGCTGTCACACACAGACACACACACACATGCATTACAGAGTACTCTCAGTTTCTCCTACGTCCACAGCTCTGAGTCCCCTCGCCTTCAAATGGCTAAAGCCCACTCAGGACTGGCCTCGGTTTCCAGGGATGCGGAGAGCATCGCAGATTCGACAACTCCTGAGGGGTGGGCTGCTGGGGGATATGGAATGCCTCTTGAGGGCATTGCAGGGTATGTCACAGCCAAATGCAATGTTTAACACATGGGCATCAGACATGCTGCCCTGACGACAGTGGGGTTCACAGGGAGGGGGGGGGGAGGAAGAGATGCCCTAAGGGCAGCAGCTCCTTCTACGTGGAAGCCTCTCACATGACCACGCACTTGCCCTTGAGCTTCTCCTTCCGTTTCTGCTGCTTGCTCTTCTTGCCGTCGATCTGGAGGCTCACGGTCCTGCGCTTCTCCAGGTTGAGCAGTTCCTGAAAGAGTTCCTTGACGTTGTGGTTGAGCTTGGCCGATGTCTCCATGAAAGCACACTTCCACGTGCGCGCCAGGGCCTCCGCCTCGCTGCTCTGCACCTCACGGTTGGGGCTCTCGTCACACTTGTTCCCTACCAGCATGATGGGGATGCTCTCCACGTCCCCCTTGATCTCACAGATCTGCTCGTAGATGGGCTTGAGTTCCTCCAGGGACTGCCGGCTGGTGATGGAGTAGACCAGGATGAAGGCATGGCCTTTGGAGATGGACAGCCGCTGCATGGCAGGGAACTGGTGGCTCCCGGTGGTGTCGGTGATCTGCAGGGTGCATATGCTCTTGTCACAGCTGATCACCTGCCGGTAGGTGTCTTCCACAGTTGGAATATAGCTCTCCCGGAAGGTCCCTTTGACAAACCTCAAAACGAGGGAGCTCTTGCCAACACCACCTGCCCCAAACACGGCCACCCGGTAGTCATTGCTCTGTTCTGGCATGTTGCTTCAGAACTCCAGCTACTGGCCAGGAAGTACCTAGCAAAGAAGCAGACATTGAGAGAGTTCATTTGAAAATCCCAGAAGCATGGTTTTGCCTTATTTAGCTGAAGAACATCAGGTGATGAAGTTTGTCTTCACTATCGCCACCTGAAAACCATTCCAGATTCCGTTTATCTGCTCCCACAGTTCAAAACCCAAATCCCCTCAGCTAGTCCTCGGCTTCCCAGAAGCCAGATGATTTACTTTGTAGCTAACTAGAGCCAGTCTATTCTTCTATATTGACTTGACTCTGAGCATGTTTGCTAAGACATGAGCCTTTTACCCAGGAAGAAGAGAGTCCGTGGGCGATGAATAGTTGACACACATGCCACATGCCTCAATGTACAAAGTCCCAGTACTATTGCATACACAACACGCTAGGCCTAAGAATGAGGTGGGATAGGGCTGGGGAGATGGCTTGGTGTATGAAGAGCTTGCTGCTCAAGCCTGAGAACCTAAAGTCATATCCCTAGCCCCCACGCAAAAGTCAGGCATAGTGGCATAGGTCTGGAACCCTAGCACTGGGTGGATGGGAGTGGAGACAGGCAGACCCATGAAGCTCACTGACCAGCTAGCCCAGCTAAAAGTGTGATAACAGGGTTCAATGAGACACTGTCAGACGGGGGGGGGGGGG